CAAAAACATTTCAAGTTTTCCAATAATTTACACTGTTAGATTTAGATTTTAACGTTAAGATTAACAAACAATTAAAAGGTGTCGGTCTCTCTACGAACCTTACACACTACGATCAATATTGGTCTATTGTGCAATCTCCATCATTATGTACAATTCTTTGATAAGCGCAAGTTTTTCTTATCAGCTTTGCTAAGGCTTCCTGTTTGTATCTTTTAGGCCTTGACTTTTTCTCTCATCCTCATCTCAGAACATGTGGACATGTTCCGCTGTTTCTTTTTCCCCCTGCCAATAACTGCACAGGTACAGTTTCCATACCCCCAGTGTGCAGTGTCCAGTCAGCAATTCTACTATCCTTAGATTCTGCCGTTAATTGACCTGGAATACAATTCCATAGAACCTATTGGCTGATCGATATGCGTTTTTGGCAATTATGTCGCAAATGTATGTTCACGGACCATAGGTGAATTCATCGAACTTTCCTTGGTCAGCTTATCGGCCCCCACTGTCCTATATGCACTAGTATCCAAACAAGTTTGCTGTGTGAGTAGAAGAATATTTTTTTGTGTCTACTACCCGGCCGTTTTACCTCCCTGCCACAGTGTTCAATAGCCAGTCTCCTCCTGAAAGATCAAATGATGCTCATGTCCATTTTGATCATAGCGAACTAGGGTGAAGTCAATAAAAAAAAAATGCCAAGTGAGGTAGAAAAAAAATAGAGAAAGACACCAATGCAGAAAGATATAGGATTGACGGAATGAAAGTCTGAGAAACAAATTAAAAAGTCTGTCTGTAGAAACTAAAGAAAAGAAGAGATAGAAAAAACACAAGATAACAGAAAGACATAAGATTGAGAAAAAAGTCAAAGAATCAAATGAAAAAGGTACAGAATATATTAAGAAAGAAAAGAAAGAAAGAGAGAGAGAAAGAGAAAGAAAGAGAGAGAGAGAGAGAGAGAGAGAGAGAGAGAGAGAGCTACAGAAGAGACGAGAAAGTTTATTTAATTACCGTCATGGAATCAAGTCTCAGTAGTTGTTCGAAACCACAATAGTTTGGTCGACAGGGCGTTCATTGGTATTTAAACTCGAGCCTATGTAATTCTTTGGTACAGGACGAACAAACTATCAAATGTGGAGATACATTTGGCCAGGCCTTTGGTCAGTCAGACAAGTTTAGACTTTTCCCCAACGAGAGTAGATAAATATGATTGAGAACTAACAAATAATTGCTCAAGAGAGAGGATGAAAATATAATCAAGTATGGAATGTGAAAATGGCCGGGAAGATTTCAAGTTTATTGAAGAGGATTAGAAAGAGGAAGGAAAAAATTTACTAGCACATTAGAAAAATTTGCTAGCTGTGTGCGAAAACAAACATATAATTTCACCTTATAACTAATGTTTTTATGGTTAGCATTCACGGCTGTTTGAACTTCGCACTGACTTTCAATTCGACTTTCCAACTACAGGCTAATAGGGAGGCGCTTCTAGGACTAAGTCCCACTGTGGCAATCAAACGGTAGGCGTGTTGTTTCAACACGCAGAGCTCAAAAGGCGTTTATTAAGGCGTGTTATACCTGAATGGTGTAGATGTGAATGGGAGGGTGTAGATTAAATCTAAGTAACAAGTTGACTAGTGTGTAGGTTGAAGGTCGTGGCACCCGCAGCAGGCACCTGCTTCCAGCCGATTAATTTTCCGTCGTCACATCCGCATATTTTTTTCTTTTAATATAGAAGCCAAAAGCTTTGAGAAATTCTGCGTCCTAACTTGACATTTCCTAATATCATATGCGCTTCTTTGTCAGTTAGTTTTTTAGTAAAAGCATGAAGAAAATAACGTTCATAAGACTTGGTAGAAATTGTAGCTTGCTACAAAGGGATTTGACAGAAATCAAACAGACACACCATTCACAATGCTGAGAAGCTGACACGTCTGATAAACCAAAACAGCGTGAATAGTTGGGATAAAATGTCCGGAAACGACCAAACTGCTCATCCCACACAGACACAAAAAGGAAATATTACCATAGTAAAAATTGTCTGAACATTTCGTAATTACTTTTAACGGAATGGGATAAAAGTTACAATAGATCGAACTCCTAAATCCTAACTGAAAAAAATCTACTGCTTGCTACTCAAAAGCACAAAAAATGTATGTTTGTTTTTAGTGTGCACAGTTCGATACATTAACTTTAACTTAACCCCAAATAAATTATATATTTGTTAACAACAATTCTAAACAAATAAAATTTAAATAGTTTAGATTACATTTAAATTTGATAACCATGTTTTTGGTTAGAACATCGGTATGAGAGTTCATATTTAATTTTTTAAATTTAGGGATTTATGTTATTATCAATATTGCATAATTAACAGTTACTTATCAACTAGGAGAGAGCGATACATTAAAACATTTTATTTCACTTATTATTTTTTCACAAGTATGTGGCTGGTTGTTAGTTTATTTTTGTCGTGTATGTAGTTAATTTTTTTAAAGTAACTTTGATATTTTATTTCATCTATTTTATTAGAATAGGAGGCTTGTTTTATTTTATTTTTATAGGAAGGGCGTTAAGGAGCAGATATTATGTTTCGTATTTTAGGGCAGTCTGGCAAATATCTCTAAAGTTGAAGATGGCCTAATGGCCCAAACAAAAGGTTTTTTCCCCCTACTTGGATAAGGTATGGGAGAAAATAAAAAGTCCAAATGATACTTAGGAGATAATAAGCTCATCCAAACTTATCTGGTGACAGATGTATATTGTGACTCGGTTGAAATGGTACAACAGCGGTTTCCGCCAACTTTTCATGCTATTGGCACCGGTGCACGACTTTTCGGTCTTTTCCTCGAGAAAAATACTGAAACCGCAGGATCTGTGGTTATTGGCCGGCGACTTTCCCGGGGAAGGAAGGACTGTGGGAAACAGGGACACTTCCACGCTTCATTTCACCCGTGTAATTCTATCATCTGTTTTAGAAGAATTAACATAAACTGTCTCTAAGCGTACTAAAAGTAAATTAGGGGCTATTCCGTTCCATGTCCGCAATCAATTACACGAAGAAACTCCGAAAAGCCCGGCGGCTAAACCGAGACTGTTTTAATTTTTTTTCTCTCTTTTTATATAGATCACCCGTTTCCTTTAACAGCAAATCGTTCTAGATTTCCATAATTTGGGATATTTCAATCAATAATTTACAAAATATCTCAGGAGTTTCTTGATATATTACAAAATATGATAGATACATTGAACCTTTATTGCAGATTGTGTCTGACAGTAAAAATTCAGAAATACACAATATCTGCTTCAAGTGTATCGACCACTTTTCTACTCACGAATACTCTTGATCACGGTACGGTCTTGATGAAAAAGCAAATTCAGCTGTTATTGCCAAGCTTTTGACCTATTTTAAGATCATCATCAGGGCCAAAATTAATTACATATTATTAAAAAGATATTTGTACAATAGATCGGATATCTCCTTTTTAGCCAAAACAATTTTTGTTTTTGTTACTTTTAATGGATAATTTTTTGTTAATCTTCAATATCTTACTTCTAGTGAAGTTCCCAAGCAGAATTAATAAATCGGTGGATCAGGGACGCTCATACCACTATCAACAACATATGCTTGTTTTTTCATGATTAGAATTGTTATACATTAAACGCAAGGCTGATACAAGTTTTTTGGTTCAATTTTTAAAATTAAAACGGGCAGATAAACCGTATAATTTGCAACATACAACCGTTTTATTAGTCGAGGTGTAGTTTAGATTTGAACACCAACTGGGTAAAAGAAAAAAAAAACATACACACGGGTCACACAAGGGTATGGGAAAATTGACTGAAGAAAACATATACAATGCATTTGAACTACCAGACTTGATAAATATGATTTCTGTCTTCTTTAAAATACAAATTCTAACTATTTTGGTGTATATTATGCAGTAATAATGGAAGTTTTGTTACTTATAAAGGATAACCTTTTGTTGATCTTGAACGACTCTGACTTCTAGCAAAGTTCTCAAGTAATATTTCGTAAACCCGTGGATCAGAGATGATCAGACAACTAGCAAGATATAATTTTTTTTTATTACCTAGATACATTTAACATATGCCCAAAATTGGTTTTAGGTTAAGTATGAACGTAAAAAATATCGAGTTACCCATCGGCTTACACGGCTAAGAGGGCTAAAATGTCTTCCTGCTGGTAGTCCTCGGAACAAAATACAAACAAATAATCCAGAGAATTATATCTAATAAAAGGTTATAGCGTAAGGAATGGGGAGGCTTATGCTCACTCTTGGAAGTACCGTCGTTCCTATTAAGAGAGTTCAGAAACCTGGAAAAGTAATTTAAGTACAACTTAAGTTCAGGGGAGAGAAAGACGGGTTATCCAGAGCGAGGCAAAGACTGCATAGTTTACCCTAAACCTAATTTTTACTAATGCGGTTATATTTATAAGAAAACATTTAAGGGTGCAAAATTATTTATAAAAGCTAGTATAGAATCACTTCATTTAAATTCTTCATCGTGAAACCAGGAAAATCTGTTCTTTATATAATCTAAAAAAAGTGTGCTTTTTGACTCTATTACATAGAAAGAACCTACATAGAAAGAAACTATTACATAGAAAATCGGTTCAGAAATTTTTTCAGAAAAATGACGGGTAGTTTTTTATTGTTTTTCCTGTTCGTCCTAAACCAGAATCAAATGCATTTACGATCATTAGCAAAATCGTTCAGTCTTTAACTGATTTATCATAAAAAACTTTAATTTAAAGAAATTATGTTAATTTTTTGAATCCTTAAAGTAGAAAGAAAGTTTTTGTAAAAAAATAACGCAGGTTATATACATAGTTTGATCGTTATCGTTAGGAAAAATCATTGTAATAAAAATTTCGGAAACAGTAAATTAAATATTAGTTTAGTAAATAATAAAAACTCCATTCCATTTAAAGCTAGTGTTAGGTTTTTATTTTTATTTTTTATTTTTTGTGTTTAATTTACCTTGATCGTTGTTATCAAATAGCAATCCTCCGAACTCACCGTCTAGAACAAAAGACAGCTAGTATGAAAAATTGCGAACAGTTGATGAATAGCTGAAAAAGGGCCTAGCATTTGATTCTTGTTACAGGCCGAAAAACACCGGGAAGAGGTTCAACGGACTTACAGAAGTTAAAAAAAATGATAAGGATTCATTGACGGTAAAAAGCATGAGGCCCATAGGTCACCGTGGAAGCTTTATAATCCCTTTCTCACGACTACACTTTTTGAAATATTCCCGGCCGAGGAGTAAATTGACAATGGCGACTTGTAAATCATTTTCTTTCAGGGAATAGATTTAATGCGTGATACACTGTCGGTTACTAGCCGGTAATAGCGCGCAGATGAGCAGGCTGGCTGTCCTTTCAACACCTTGCAAATATATTCATTAGAAATAATATAGGCAGCTTATGTATCAAATAAAAAAGACTGATTACCCGGGCTTACAGAAATATTGTTATGTAAGGAGTACAATTTAGACATAACATTGTGAAACAAGCTTGGTCGCGTCTTGTCATCTTGGTCCGTTTATTCTCGCTCTTTTCGCATGTCCAATGATGATATCGTCTATTATTCCAAAAAACCATCAAGGGGTGAAAGAATGCTAACAAATACAAAAAACCGATTGTGGGTAAAAGCCGAAATGTTTGCCAGACAAGACAAACCAGAATGAGCAAACCGTTAATCCATTAGTTGTACAATTTGTCCCATGAACAGACGTCAATACTTCAGGAGGCTATCCTAAAAGTCAAATTGGACGAAAAAGTCCCTATTGTCTAATGTCGGTTTCTCAATTGTATTCGAGATATCTCGCTTTTCAGGTTACTTCAACCTTTCACAACGTTATAAATAAAGTTAAAAGTATAAAATAAACTTTATAAAGTCCCTCGAATCATAAAATATTGAGCCTATTGTAGATTTGATTACATCAATGGAAAGAGCATTGATACCCATATAAAGACAATTTTCTCTATTAGGAAGCTTTAGTAAACAAAATAAAAAGCATTTAGAAGATAAACTTTTACGGGACTCGAAAGTTTTTGTCTAAACTTTAATTTTCTAGGTTCTTCAAATACTGACAGATACAGTACTTATTGAAATATTGCCCCTACTAATGAGCTTTAAACCGATGTACTTAATTTCTCATGGTGAGTTATCAGCAATGTAAAATTAACGTTTAATAGGTAAAAAAATTGATTTTTTGGTTGCCTTTTTTGGCGTTTGTTTGCAAACATCATTAAGTCACCATTTATTTTGAAAGTTTAATAAAAAAAAATGAAAGCAATACAAAATAAAACTTAAAAAAATGCCAGAAAACGATTCAGACTTGCATTTTTCAAGAAAGCGAACCTTTAGGACATTAAATTCAATTTTTGGAAGCATGCTCAATATTGCTAGCGTCGTTTTCATTTCTTTTTTTAATACAAGATTAAAAATATACTTTTTTTACACCATTTCTAATTAAAAAAATCCAATTTTTAGCAATCAAACGTTAATTTTACACTGAAATTTGAGAAATGAAGCATATATATATTTACAGGTCATTAGTAGGTGTAACTTTTTTTTTTGTTAGAGGCATTAGGGTCATTTCTGTCAGTATTTACAGAACCAAGAAAATCTTGGTTAAAGTTTTGACGAGAACTTTGGAAATGAGGAAAAGTTTATATCCTAACTGATTTTTATTCTCTGTACTAAATGTAATAAAATGACCTTCATTGGGCTTTTAATGATCTTTCCATTGATGCAATCAAATTTACAATAGGATTGAGGGTTTATAAGATATGGGAGCTTTTTGAAAAAGTTATGGAAAGTTGAAGTCTTTGGGACTTTTTGGCTCAATTTAATATGTAGAACAACCTGAATTATTGACGTCTCCTCACGCGACACCCGGCATACGATGTTTTTTAAAAATAATAACTGAGATAAGGTTAAATTTTTATGAAATAAATGGGGTTTTATACAAAAAAGTTGTGAAAGGTTGAAGTAACATGAATTTGCCTCTTTATGTACGGATATAATCCTTGTACGAAAATATATAAATGTATTACAAGTAATTAATAATTAATTTTATAATAATTAAATCATTATTTAAAATAAAAATTTAAGTAATTAATATCTTGAAGTTTGGTCAATTGGGACTTTTTAGTTCAATTTGACATGTAGAATAACCTCCTGAATTATGGAGGTCTATTCACAAGACACCCTGTACATGATATTTTTTATAATAATACCTTACTTTTGTTTAGTTAAATTATCCTTGTATTACATGTAGTTTATTTAATTTCTGGTTTAATTTTTTCAAATTTTAGCTTTTATAATCTAAATTATTTGTGCGAAATTAAAGAAGAGAGCATGGTACTTATTTAAATTTAACATATCAGTTTATTTAACCTGGTAAATGTCTCTAATTTAGGGCAAATGGAAAAGCATTTGTAGACAGTTTTGGAATCGGTCGGTTTTTTCATAAATTATGCTTGGCCGCTAATTCTTACAAGATAAAACGTTAAAAAAGGATTGTATAATGCCCTTCCGTCCGAAAGCTAGCCGGAATGTTAATGAAGTTGGATAAAAGTACACAAGATCCTAACGTTTCTGCCATCTGTTTCACAGGTGCATAATCTACGATTACACGATTAGAATTCGTATGGGATTTACACAGTAGAAAAGTTGTCTTGTCAAGTGTCCCAGGGCGTTTTGTATTTATAGGCATAAAGGGATAATTAATCGCGTATTTTTTTTGTAATTTTCGTATTTTCCTAAGTGATAATAATATAAAAAAAAGGCCGTTTTTGTATTCCCAGTGGCGCACGGGGTCTTGCAAGCGTAACATAAGTCTCTAAGATGAAGTAATACGGAGGAGGAGAAGGCAATATTTGAAATTAAAAAATCCTCAGGAGCATTAATAACGGAAGGTAATATGAGTACCGGTATTTAGCGAGAGGGAGAGAAACGATAGCCGGGGCCGATCGGTACGAGTGAGAAAGAGCGATCACGCTTTATGCAAGTGATATACATTATAAAGGGCGCACGTTGTTGTTTGAAATATAGCTCGGAGCCCACGATCCCACCACCGATATATTATATATACTCCCTTGATTTATACAACGCTGAAAATATGAAAGCAGGCCGCAAGACATCAATTTATACAGAACGTTTACCGACCTAACCTCCGACTCATACCTAGTACACTGCCGTTTAATAGACAATTATGTAAAACATCTCATACGTGATTTTATTGATCACTTGAGTTAACTTTTCCTCAGTGTCTTTTTGATTTTTGATCTCATGTCCCGGTTGTACATACTTTATTATTCATCGACTGATTTATTAAGTGTTGGACGAAACATAATGGCCCTCCGTATGAGGATTAATTATCAGGTTAAACATAAATAAACTAAAGGAGTTTCAGTATTGTACTAAATAAGATGGTGTTGTTGAGATAGCGGCCTTTAAATGTGTTTCGCCTCACGCGCGCCTCCTCCGCTCTTACAATTTCATATCATGTTCACGTTATTACTTCACGAACAATCATAAATCTTTGCCGCTGAGAGACCGCTTTGAAAGCTCATTTAAGGCGATTTTAAAAGAAAAGTCTTCAGATCGCGTCCTGAGATATTTATTAAAAAAAAGCAGGCTACTAATCCAACTGCTCTGATTCGAAGGAGAAGAGACCGTAGAATCTCAATACAGGTTATCTTTTTAGGTAGAAAGACAGGCACGTTTTAACAAGTTTCTAATAATTTTTGCATGACAGAAATTTTAACTACTGATACGACTTACCTTCTTGATGGCCCCCGTGTCCGCTATCTTCTGAAACAAAAAATTCTTTAAATATTTCGCTCATCCACATCGTCCGTCCCCTCAGGCCCATACTGTTATTTAAGTGCGGTGCATCAAAGGGATCGGCATATTTTAATTATTGTTTACGATAAACCTCCTACTGATGACCAAGGGAATTCTTTTGCCCTTTTTTTTACACAACCTCCGCCACACGAGGAGAAATTAATGCCAGGAATTCGAGAACTTTTCATTCCTCACGGGTGGACCCTATCAACCTGGACGTAACGGTACATTAAAATTGACAAATTTGGAAATTCACGCTCGAAGAAAAATCCCTGTATGAATTTTCCTTAACTTCCCATTTTTATTCATTTATTTTTTTTTTAACATAACCCAGGTATGATCGGTAGAAGGATCTGTATAATTGCCCCCTTCATGGCTGCCTTTAGAATCCATCCATTTATTGAAGATTACTCCGAACCAATTATAATTAAATATAGCCGTAAACTTTTCATTTAGGCTTTCAAACAATATGAAAAGAATGGAAATTAAAAATTTCAATTTCAAGTGATTGTACACAAACGAATAACCAAACAATAGTATAGTAAAATTAAGAAAATAGTCTCAAACTGGAGCCATATCATTTTGTTTGGACTGATCACTTTAGTTGGAATTTATATTTTTTTATGACATCTTCAGTGAGTAATTGTCCCGTGAGTGTCTGTACTTCAGACGTAAACCAGCTAGAATGGTCCTTGTAAAGTGATCAGTTGATCAGCTGAACAAGCCATTCATCCATCGAAGACCAACAATACCAAAAAAATTTAACTCTCGTGAGATTAATAAATTTTTTAAATTACATAATTTAAGCTAGGTTGTCAGGCTTTAGTCAGTCGGTTATGGGATGTTTATCAAGCTTTCGGCATATATTTCACTTTTGTTGGCATGATCACATTATCAGGTCTTTCTATTTTCATTGGTTTTCACACGTATTCTTTCTTGTCTGGCTGGAGAAACTGTCCTATGTGGTTTGGGTCATGAAAAATAGACGTACAAATAATCTTATACTAATAATTGCCCCAGTAGTACTTTATATATCAAAATTATATATCAGCCTGAGTGAGGCCGATAAACAATTAATTTGAACTTTTTCAATGATCGTTCTATTATAGAAGCTATAACGTTAAAAAAAATTGAAGTTAAGAAAAGAGAATTTTGAAACGATATTTTTAATATCTAATCGATACCTACTTGATATCGTAATAAAAGTATCGATTCCAAAATTTTATGGTAATGAATGAAATATCGCCAAAAGTATTTGATATTAAATAAAATTCTTTATGTAAGGTATTAGTTGAAATGAAAAAGTTAGTGTCACGAGCGGGATTCGAACCCACGACCTTCGAATTTCGAATTTTCTCTTCTCGAAAGGTAGGTTGAGATGGGAAGTTGGTGTTCGAGTGGATCAAAGTAACGATAGCTCAAGTGGTAGAGCAGTGTCGTATTGAGCCGAAGGCCGTGGGTTCGAATCCCGCTCGTGACACTAACTTTTTCATTTCAACTACATAAAGATTAATTAATTGAAAGAAGTTATTTTGTCAATCGGACCACGAAATATAACGGATTTAATTTAAAAAAAGTGTAGATGCCAAACGTTCAAGGCATGGCAATAAAACATTAATGCCAAAAGTACTTGATATCGAATAAAAGTATCGATACTTTGCTTTTATTTACTCATATAGATAGAAGTGGCCTTTTTTATTGCTAATGTATTGATTTTTGTAATCTTCAACATTGAAATAATAAAATCCCTAGGATTCCTATGGTTTCATAGAAGTAGTATTATACAGAGTTGCAGATAAGGAAATGATTATTCGGTTAATACATACATGCAAAATGGGGGGGTGCAATTTTTAAATTTTCTAATTTTGCAAAATAGTGACCAAGTTTCAGTTTTACAAATGGTACAAAAGAGACCATTTTTCGCAATTTGTGTTTCTTAACATTGGATGTTCAAATACAGTTTAAGCTTTTAAGCCTTCGAATAAAATTCGTTCTGAATTCCTGGCGTTTGTTTTTAGGTATGGAGCGTGATTTTTGCATTTAGTCACTTACTTTTCTTCGTCTCCTCTTTTATTATGGTGTGGTGGACTTGGATTGAGTGCGGATGCAAATCCCCACCGTGGCCGAGCCCACTCAGCTCCATACTCAGCATAGCAGTACCTGTGGGCAAAAAAAAAATGTAAAAGGGTTCGTTAAAAAAAAAAAAAAAAAAATTTGTATAAGGTGCGTGTATAGAAAGATCATACAGAAGGCACCTTCGATCTTTGATGATATCATTTGCATTGCATGAAACGTCGGGTAAGCGGCCTAGCTTCTCTTTAAAGGTCAGGTTTTACCTTCGCCTCTCTTGAGTTTCTGCTACTTGATCTTTACGCCCTTCGAACTATCTCACTTTCTTATCGATTTTTTACGTTTACTATTTACGAGATCAAGGTTTCAGTCCCTTTCTACCTACACCTTCTAATTTCCGCGAGAAATCCTATTTTAGAAGAAAACTGGGTTGCGGAAATGGACTGTTTTTATAGACCAATTTTCTTCGAGTACTCTTTAAATGACAAATTCTTGACATTTGTGTCCTAAATAAAGTACAAAATAATCGGTCAATATTTTGTTTAATGTTCTACCTAAAGTTGCTCTATTTTTTCATTTTACTTCTATTTTTATAAACTAGAACATGGCAGCAGAAGAAATTTTTAAATGTATTTGCAAATTTAGATGGCCCAGCCGTTGATTTTTATCTTTATATTCAAAAGAATATTAAAATATATACATAGTTTTAACAGTAGAATAATGCAACAAGGTAAAAAAAAACAGTGTTTCACTCTTAATCACAATTATATCCCTGTTGTCGTGCCATTTGAAGAAGGTTCAAAATTCACGCTAATATTGATGCGTACCTTAAAAATTTAAAGCCTTTTACAAAACCGGCTAGATTTAACAGAAATATGAAGAATTTTTGCCTAACCCTCCTTATAACTCTAACGTTCCTCTTAACGTTATTGTGTTATGTTTTGCTCGTTTTGACTAGTTTAGTTTTTTAAACTCGTCTAGACTTTAATTATGGACGATCTAACTTTAATTGACAATCTAAATCATGATTTTTATGTGCCCTAGATCGGTAACGATTGGCTTGAAACCACACTATAATTCGATTTCTTAAAAATTTGGTTTTTGCTATGTCAAATACTCGATATAAAGTAATGCTGGAAAAACATAGTTCGTGTTAAGCCCCAACCGCACTTATAAACCCGTAAGTAAATACAATCATACTCATAACCCAGATTGTGGTCTTTTTCCGATTGATCTTCTCGAAAAATTTAATAAATCTCATTAATTTTGACAAAATTTTAGATAATAGGCAACATAATTGCGTTTTGAAGGATATAAATTAAATTATATAGTACATTCATGACCGTGGTACTTAAGAGTGACTCGGTTAATTCCAGTTGAAAAAATGTCACTTCTTAAATTAACCTGACATATTCCTAATAATCTCCCCCGAAACAATAAGTTGTAAAATGACTACTTTTGAATAGGATTGACAATGTTATCAGATTGAATTTCGATTGCGGATGCTGATGGAAAGTACATATTGTTCATTGTGTTCGCGATGAATACCATCTGCCGTTTCCACTGAAAAAATGAAACTTCCACTCCGCCTAAACTTTGTTGCAACAACGTACTACCAAATTTTAAAACAAAGCCGACGTAAAGCTGGGCTTTGCCGGACATAGTCGATTTGAATAAACGTGCCCAGGACAATAGACACCGGTTTATCTACGTCCCTCGGATTATGGCACTCGACCGAAGGGAAATGTTATATAAACACTTCCTCATTTACACGTCGCTACCAGTAAAGCGCATTCTTCTTAGTCGACTGTTACTAATAAGGCCTCACTATACGTAATCATACCTCTCACTTCCATACGATAATGATCAATTTTTAATAATAAACCAAGTATGTTTTCATAATATCCTCAAAAAGGGGATTTTATTATTCAAGAAAGTCGTCTTGAAGAGTTTTAAAACTGAAAAAAATTGAAATGGCTTGTAAAATCTCAGTTCATTAACGCTCAAGAATTTGCACCTATATTTCAAGAAGCGAAGAATGCCGATAATTTAAAAATTCAAAACTAAGACAAATTCAACAGAAGAAATACAGAAATATATTTAAGAAATATCAACGTTATGCATATTCTTTTCAATTAATTAATCTTTAAGTAAGGTATTGGTTGAGATATAAAAGTCAGTGTCACGAGCGGGATACAAATTTTTTTATCTCAGCCAATACCTTACTTAAAGATAAATTAATTGAAAAGAATTTATTTGGTCAATCGGACCTCGAAACCTAATCTATTTAATAAGCAAAATGAAGTATACTTCACTAAAGCTCTCCGTGGCCATTTCATTTGTCGCCGAGAATCAAATAGATGCACGACATTTGAAAAACGGCAAAAAGTGGGAAAATGTGAAAGGTGCTAGTCTGAGTTGGTGTCCGGGAGGATCGAAGTCACGATAGCTCAAGTGGTTGTAGTAGCCGCGAATTGAGCCGAAGGTCGTGGGTTCGAATCCCGATCGTGACACTGACTTTTTTTTATCTCAACCAATGCCTTACTAAAGATTAATTAATTGAAAAGAATTTATTTGGACCATGAAACCTAATCCATGTTATGCATATTAAAAAATATTTCTAAATATTCTAAAAACGTGCTTTAGAATAGCATTTATTGCTAATTACTACCATTTCTTAAGGATAGATATTGACTTTTTAAAAATACCTAAAAATCTTTATATTTTTTATAAGAATGTGTTGCACAGAAAATACAGAACATAGAAAACTAAACAAAGAGATTAAAAGAGAGAGAAAGAGAGAAAGGGTGAGTGACTGAGAGAGAAAGACGCGAAAGAGATAAGAAAGAAGACCTTGTCTTAATATACGATTATTTAATTTTGCGGCCGAGAAAATAGACAACAAATCCAAGAAAGAAAGAAAGAGAGAGAGAGAGAGAGAGTTGGAGAGAACGAGAGAGCGAGGGAGAGAGATAGAAAGAGAGAGTGAGAGAGAGTGAGGGGAGAGAGAGAGTGAAAGAGAAAAACGCGAAAAGGAGGCCTTGTCTTAGTTTATTTAATTTTGCGACCGAAAATATAAAAACGAAACCCAGAAAGTAACAGAGAGAGAGAGAGAGTGAGATGGAGAGAGAAAAAGACAGAGAGAGAGTGAGATGGAAAGAGAAAGAGAGCCAGACAGACAGGGGAAAAATGTTTGGCTGTCAATTCGTATAAATCCTGAATTTTTCTGCAGTTGGGAATAGATTACTGTATAATAGAGTGAATATGTACAATATGCCTGTTTGTGGTCTATGTATACCGGCGTTTCTAACACAATATTCGTTTTCACTTATTTCTTACGAATAATCAAATCTATAAAAAGCTTTATTTATGTTGTTGATGTCTATTCAATTCAATAAAAACTTATAAACCGTACGGTCAATGATAAGCGATGATATAATTGATTAAAACTATTTTTTTAAGTTAGGAAATTTTTTTGAAAAGAATGACAGAAAAACAACGTCAACTATAGTTTAAGTTGCGTGGAAATTGTCTACTACCTAATGACCCAAGTGTCTTCCCTTTCAAGCCGCGGTCATTCATGAAGAAAAATGATGAGGTGATGTGCCAAGTAGTTCCCTCCTATAAAGATATTCCGTCCCGGGGGGATTTTAAATGATCTTTTGGACTGTTTTTGTCCTCTTCTTTTTCCCATCCTGTCGGCGAGCGGTAAGTCACATCTTGATGTTTTATGCTGTCATGGAGCCCAGGGGAATCTCGCCTTCCCACCGGTCAAATTATCGTTGTATCAGTTCAGAAAAACACGATATACTAACGACGAATATGTATCTATTTAAGCAAACCTAAGCTTTCCTCTATTCACTTTGTCATCTGAATTATTTAAGGTATTGTTTCTCCTTCAAAGACAGATGCGAAATTAGCCGCCGTAAATCTCTAGATGTGCAACTATTTCTTTTATACAAAAAGAGTGTAGAATTAGGAGAACAAGCACGTAGAGTAAATTTAGCATATGATGCAGTGATTTTATTTAGAATAAAAAATATTTTTGTAGTTTTTCATGTAAGATCTTAGCGCAAATAAATGTGGTAACATTAGCCAATATTTCAGAGCATGGAACTAATACATATTAGTTGGAACAAAGAACAATAGTATTGACTTTGAAAACACACAACGACAAGAAAGCGTGTCCACTTTTGAAGGTCAATAGCAAGGACTATCTAGAACGGTCGTCGAAGGCAGGGGTGAGTTATCGACCTGCTGATTGCCCGGTCGGGAATTAGGAATGACAAAAACGAGCTGCAATTACAGTATATTTTTAACCTGCGGCTAGATACTGATTGCTAGTTGTTGTGGCTGTATGGAATATTCGGACTAACGGAAGACAGGAGCTCACGTCCAAAGCAAAGGCGACAATGGCAGGTCCTGTGGTTAGAAACCCGGTCTTCTTTCTCACATATTTGCCACCCGTCCGGCCTCTAATTAGGATTGTAGAGGTGGAAAAAATATTTTTTCGAAGTAATTAACCATTTTCAAGTTCCTGCGGTGAGGAATGTCGCCCGACAAATCCGGGATATTGTTTATATTGCGAGTCCATCTGTCGAAAGCTATGAATTATGGACTTTGCCGGTCGTGCCAGCCTCTGGGAACGAACCCTATTCGGTTATGAAATTCGTAACTCGGATATGGGAAAGAAGAAAATCTCCCTCGGTTAAGCTAAACCTAAATCAGACGTCCTCTTCATTTCGAGGCTAGTCGATTTTTAATTTTTCTAAATGCTAAATCATAAACCTCATTTTTTCTTTTAATAGAGAATAAATTGGAAGAAGTTATGGGAATGAGTGTATGGGAATATTTGACTTGAGGGCACGGGTATTTGAAATATATGGGCGCAGACAACTCCATTACACCCGACTAAATGACCATAAGATTTATGGTACGACGTCCAGAGCAGGCGGTACGCAACAGTTTACACACAGCTCGGACACACGGACCACCGTCCACTCACCGATCTCCATCCATCAGCTGGAACTTAATGTTCAGATCACCTTAATCCCAAAACGACGGCCAACACGAAACTAGTCACTCCCAAC